GATATTTTCTGCCCTTTATTATAGGATTTTACTTATTTAAAATGTGCTTGGCACTCCAAACATATTATACATTTTTTAGAGGATGTTTTATAAAACCGATTACGCACAGGACAGTGTGATTTTTGGTTTATTATTATAATACGATGTTGCCAAATATATTATTACGTACAATGTACATGTATTAATGGTTTTATAACGTATATGTAGTACCAAAATCGCTAAAATAAAATTCCTGAATTAAGTAGTCCTGGTATAATGAAAGGTAAATGACTTTGGAAGTATAGTACGTAATAAATACGAAATATGTTTGTCAGCATTTATTCCACACGCGGGCTCAGAGCTCAGAGCGCAGTGTGTAGCGCGTAGCTACTCGCGAGTAAAGCCGCCGGCGGAGGCAAGCCCCTTATTGGGACATGTATTGGAAAATCTTTATGTTATTATTTACGCGACGAGGAATTTCGCGGCGCTAATACCCGTCGCGTTGTACATTTATTGAAGTTTTTATTAGAAAATACCATCCGCTCTCGGTGTCGCTCGTGAAAGAATTTGACTTATTAGCAGATACTCCATAATATATTCCTCTCCTTTGTTTGGGAATGTTCAGCATGAAAATCTCATTAAAATATCACGTTCATTCCGAAAAATTATTGGTTCCAATATTGGATTTTCGACGAATATTTTAACGTGGGAGCGTTGAACGTGATGCTCAATATGCTGGCCGCTCAGATAGAAATTTTATGACTAAATTATAGAAATATGAACATTCTACAGATTACTTCCTTCTTACATAGTAACCATTGCCACACAATTTTTATTACAGTTCTTTAATATTGCAAAATGTAGAGCCAGTTTTCATAAAAACTACAAAGTTATATCATGCCCTACACACATCTAAGACTAGAGATAAACAAACAAATAAACGTGCAGTGTCACTATCTACAAATTCGATGCTAAATCCTACTTTATTATCGCTTAGCCCTTTTGGTGCGCGGTCGAGCGGTGGCGTCGCAGGAAATTGTACTACGTTTTATCAAAATGCTTCCGACGTGGCGTGGAGCGATGCGATACTCTTGTTTGTATCTACATCTGTGCTCACCGCAGTCAGGCTGCCATTACAGCCTGCCTATTACCTAGAGCCTGTACCGCGTACAAACAACATTTGTAAATTAAAATTACTGTACGGACGAAAATTTAACAATTATTTTTAGGATCAGTAGAGCTCCTTGTGAAACAGTTTGTCCAGGGTATTACTACCACCTTGCCTTTAGCCTACGGACGGAAGCTATTTAACCTCAATTTTACAAATATTTAGAACGCTTGAATTCCATGCAAGTAACATAGGAGTATTGAGGCGATTGCGTAGGTACAGAGACATGCCTAGCTTTACCTTTATAAGAACCGAAGAAATTTAGTAGCAGTAGAGCTCCTTGTGAAAGAGTTGGTCCAGGGAAATACTGCCTTACCCTACCGTACCTTACCTATTTCTACCGCCAAGTAGTAATGTGAGCGTTATTGCGTTCCGATTTTAAAGAATAAGGGTGCTGGTGAAATAACTTATGTCTAAGGGTGATGACGGGCAGTGCCCCTCAGATCTTTGTGATTTAAACCTCTGACACTTCAACTGTTATAGTCAGGCGTGTCGCTTACCATCAGGCGCACGACATGTTCGTCCCGTCAGTTGGTATCATAAAAAAACACAAACACCAACATCTTCGTGATGTATCATGACCGCATAACTTCGCTGATTCTGACATATAGATTGGAGAGGATCATTATGACGATCAGGAGGGAGGATTGGTATGTCATTATTAAAACGCAAATATGCGTACCTAAGTAATTCATAAAATCTGTTCATTGCTTAATAAAATGTTAAAAAGATGCTGATGTGAAAGAGACACAACACTGCAAAGGATTTCTGCTTAGTCAGTTTCCTAGTAAATATTATATTGGCAGCGACAAAGTGTCCTGCCAATTTGGCAAGATGCGAGTGCTAAAGTCATCTAAAGGCGAAATAGTATAACGATTGCAGTTTCCACGCTTACTCTCTGCGATTAGACTCGCACGCCTAGTCTTACAATGTTTATAGCGTTAAATAACCGAGCTCATAGAATAAAACTTTATACCGAAGAAATTAAACTTGTGCATATTTTTTGTTAAAGAAAAGGAATAATAATGAGATTTACGAGATACTTGCAGATATTTGTTATCTAAAGTTTATGTTCAGAATTTTAATTACTTGTAATGTAATCGGAATTAAAAGTTGTCTTTTACTATGAAATATTTCTCTCGATTAAATAAGTACTGGAGTGTCTACTAAAAGTGTTGCCTACTACACTCGACATTGTTATAAAATGTATTTTACAAAATGTGCGCACAAATATATTAAAAGTATTACACAATTATTAATTTAGACGTTTACCTGTAAAATTGTGGTTGTGAACGATGATAAAATTAATTTTGCTAAAGGTAATTAATTTTTTTAATTACTTAATTTACTTTACTTAAGGTACTTAATTTTATTTTTTTCATCCAGGTTGTTAAAACGACAAATATGGCGACATAAGTGGCCCAACTGTTTGCACTGTGAACGCTAGATAAGGGTTCGATTCCCATAGTACTAATTTGCAAAATAAACTCATAAATTACAAAATATAGGTACATTTATTTTTTAACGTAATTTTTGAAATGATTGTTGGATATTCAGTAAATCATTGTCATCGTCAATATGTTTATTATACGTCACACTGCTGTGCTCGGGTCTCCTCTAGACTCTACAGACAAATAATTATTAACATGAATATTTTAATAAATTATATACCAATAAATTGCTACGATATCTAAGGTTTTCAAAATATAGTGACTCAGTTTTAAACTAACTCTCTCATAGACCGAAAATAGCAGTGGAGTGAATTAGAGGTATCTTTAAGGAACAACCTCATATCTTTTCTACATAAGTTTTGTTATACGGGAAGGGCACTATAACCTGTGCAAGCAAAAGGCCCTCCCTATTTTCCAGGTAAGATACCAGAGCTGTAGACACGCTCAGTTCCCGCCGCGCATTGCGCAACTAGCGGTTGCCGCCACTAAGCCGTTGTCTCTAAAGTCCACTACCAAATCTCCTCTTTGGTGGCGGATCTGTAAGACACGCTCTCTTCCCGACGCCGTAAAACAGTGTCTCTCCAGTTTCCAATAACCTAAGCGGCTGGACGGACTGGAGGATATCTAGCGCATACTCTACTAGCTCTCCAAGCTAGTGCCGGAGATGCCGGTCGCAGTGTCCTGCGACAATGTCCGGATACAGCTTCCGACATAAAAGGCAACTCACGTGCCCCGCGCGTGTACTCGCCTTATGCCTCGCCTTCTGCGCCACTCCCTGTCATTTGATTGTTTTGGCGGTCAGGTCTTTGTTGGTTTCGTCTTGCAACTGGGACTTCCCACTGGATTTTTCCCTTTCGTTCATACGTACTTTCATCCACTATGGTCTCCCATCTATATGGCCGCGTCAACGGTATTGTGCGGCACTGGTGCACTACTCCCGTTCTCCATCGGAGATCCTTCCGAAACAATTACTGTCAAATTAATAACACTTGACCAAATTAAAAAACGCATGAAGCTTCATACTTGAAATTTTTTTGATTTGGTCTTTTGAGTTGATTGACATTAATTGTTTCGGATGGAATGTCGAACGAGAACGAGAGTAGATCCTCTGAATTGATATGCCACCAACATATTAACATATGCACGACTCTTTATTTAATTAATAACAGTTTCCTATTTACGATCCATCGATAGTTTTAATATATCTACTGAATTACGTATACTTACATACATAACGAGACAAATATTGAGAATCCTATTCCGATGACGAATAACACTGAATAGATATGTAGTTCTATTGAACCATCTTGCCGACTGAAGGCGTAACACAAGAAATTACGCGTCACTAAAGAAAAGTAAATTCTGTCTTTTTGGATAAAATAGCTCGTTCTTATCAAGTGGAGTCCACCGATGTCCATTTACGACGATATTAGCCTATTTTTGTCTTATACGCGCTAGCTATGCCTATGGTATTTTACAAGTAAAGAAAATGTTGGTTTTGGCCAAAGCAATACCAAAGATTACTATAATTACTAAAGAACAAACAATTTCGGAGAATGTTAGCTCTCTACTTTTCCGGGTTCGGTTTGCTACTCCATTACTTAACCTTTGGTACCCCAAGCGAGATTACGTAGCAGCCATGCTTTACCTGCCACCTCTTCCCCAACGCCCAAACCCTCATTTTATAAGTTTCATTTCGTTACAACTTTTTATGTCAGATTTTAATGTTACTGACTCTAATATTTCGAGGTTTGACGACAAAAATACGGAAATTGGATGGTTGTCACAAATGTTATCACTAGTGAGTGTCGGCAAAAGCGTCGGCGGCAGTTTTTGTTCATTCATCTAAAGTGAAACATTGACAGATCCATTGTAACGGTGAACAATGCACGACGCCACGCAAATTTGTAATAAGGGACTTTTTCACCGATTCCGTGTCGCGATATAAAGTCGCCTGTAATAAAATCACAATTTTCACTGTTTTCATACTTTTAAAACAACCTAGTGGAGTTTAAAGGCCTTCTTATGAAACGAAGTACGAAATCGAGCTTAAATTTGTAATTTATATAAATGACGATATTAACAACAAAAACTCAAAATAATTCCCTTACATATTCTTATTATCTACTTCAGAAAAAAAACACAAAAATGTGTTGCATAAAAATAATATGCATGCACTTCTCTGTTTTTTTTTCCAAGCGGCAAATTAAAGTTACCTTATAATTAATACAAACGATCGTGTGTAATTCGTAAATAGGACGAAAAATAAATACGAAAATTATAAACCCTTAAACATTACCTTTACGGCGAAAAGTTTTGAGAGCAAACTTAAACTAAGCATCAAAATTATTAATACAGAAACAATTATAAAAAAGCAGGCCAAAGCAGTTTTAGGAGCTTACCTCATGATGGTCCAGGTGCATCCGGTGCAGTCACCGACGACGTCGGTCGCTGGTGCTACACGTGAGGGCGCGAGGGAGATGGCGAGAAAAGCTCCTTAACAACTTTTTAAAGGAGCGCTCGAATTCGAAACGAGCGCAACGCGAGCCACGGGTACCGGCGATTCATTATGAGCGAGCATGGAAGCTGCGACCCCCCCGCGCCGTCTTCCCACCCCGCACGCGAGCTTCGCGCATGTGCTTCTCCGCGCTCCAATCGCGGCCCTGTTGCTTCTGACGGCCGCGCAATGTCAAAACGTAAACGCTATGAATACGGTTAATCGTCGAGGAATCTGCCGACAATCTCGATGATCTACGCGCTTAGATTAGGCCAACTTTTGTAGTACGCCCTCGCTTTGTATGTATTTTATTGCTGAAACGTTAGTCCTCCTCGGTGCAGGGGAATATCAACGTTTCCGGGATATTTCTTGCAACTTTCATAACAAATGGACGTTACACTGAAAAATGTCCTCTAGAGAGTGGATAGTTTACATAGCAAAATAATATACATAGTAGGAGCTTTAAAGACTATAAACAATTTTTAAATTTTGCATCTTTGCTGGTTAAATAAAACATTAGAGCCACTTTGTAACCCCGCTGAACCCCCATCAGAACGTTACAGCTAAAACTAAATCCCCTAAATGCGTTGCTCTGATATTTATGGCAGGGCTAATAGCATGAGTTAAACCGGAGACTATGCCTCATAGAGAATTTAGTTGTACTTAAGTACGACGCCTTTAACATAATTTAATGAATAAACAGTGTTTTGATCACTGTCTTTGTTCCTTAAGATAAGCTCTTCTTGTCTTGTCTGTAGAAAAAAATAATTAGATGAATGAATACCCTTGAGCATTTCAGACTCGCCCTTTGAAAAAAAAACCGAGATAAAGAAAAATTTGGAGAGAAGAAGCACGCAAAAAGAAAACATTTGCAATATATCTTTATGATTAGGTAAATTGTCTACCTAATATTAATTTTACACATTTCACCCTTCATAAATTATTTATTTTAAAGAATATTCCAATTTTTTTTTAACTTTATAATATTATCCAAATTAAAGGAAACAGAGCAAAATGTAAGCTAGGGAAATTTTAAATGAAGTCACAAAGTATGGTAATCCCCTATTCTACGTCGTGTAACAAACGAAGCTTAATTCGGGGCTCAACCTTCGTCAAAAGCGGACAAGTTAGAAGTCAATCGCTCTGACACCAATTATAACTCTACTGCTCTACATTTGATTACATATGTCATATTAGATTTAATTATATTACGTTTAACTTGACTGCGCCATGTAAAATAGACAAATATGTTCCTAATTAATTTTACAACTGCATATCTAACTTCATTATTCATTAAAAGTAACTATAACAAATATATAATGAAACAGACGGGAATAAAATTAAAATAAAGAAAGCGCCTATCATTGACCCTAGTCAAGTCGCATTTGTTTTATCGTTGTAGTCGTTCAAAACTGGAAAAACAACACTGATCAACTAAAAATTTTCACGGTAATTTCACTTGTATTTCTTTCTACTGACATGGTTTTATCTAGATTATTTCAATTTAAAGTTAAAGCTGGCTAGAAATCATAAAATTTAAATGTTAGTCAGTCAAAAAGGGAAACATAGTAACATAATCAAAGATAGCATCCGATAATACTTGCATTTGGGCTTATTCGGGCTCCGTTGCACTTTAAACCGACCCCGGGTTCAGATGCTACAAACCCGATACTACACCAACGTATCTGTACACGAAAAAGGACTAGCTTGTGAACTGTCAGCTTGATAAAAATTTGAGTTTTAAAGGACTTCCGTCTCTCGAGTTGGGTAACCCACAGTTAAGTGTGTATGACAGATCTGAAGATGGATTCAAACAGAAGCTATCGAGGGTCACAAATAACCCGCAATGCAAAAGCTAAAGATTTTGCGAAAATCCCTCTTTTAAACATTCATATCCCGATTTTCCTCAAAAGCGCCTGTAAGTACAGATATATAAATGCCTATTATCCACGCCGTTTTATTAAACTCAAAGCGGAATCACCAGTGAGATACGCAAAACAAAATTGTATTATTAAGAATTCTTTATTGCTCTTCACTATTCCGTTACGGTCAAAGTAGTATAATAAACCCGGGAACTAGTCACTGGCGTTGATATTCGGGCATAAGCGTTTATTTAGTACTCCTTACGATTTAACTAATTACGGACAAAACGCAGTGCTTATAAGGTTATGTCGCATATACAACAATGTTTTCAATTAGATAGATTAACGAAAACGAAACGTACCCACGGCACTAAAACATTGTTGTTAACTCGATGTTCTAGATGAAAATAATCCTCCATATCTTCCTTAGAACTCGTACAACCGCAACAGCTGATACTTACTGTGAATAAAAACGGACGATGATGGCTTGAATTCTAGAGAAACAATCGCAATTAGTATATCGGTCTTCATATCTATTTCTGCACGATAATCATCATTATCCCATTTATACGTCCCACTGCTGGGCACTGGTCTCCTCTTAGGCCACTCTCGACTCTCTTCGACATGCACGATTTCATCACGAAGTTTTCATGCACCGAAAAGTTCACGGTGAATTTCAAATTAAATTTCGCACATAAATTCCGAGAAACTCAGAAATGCGAGTCCAGATTCGAATTCATGGCCTCTGCTGGAGAGGCGGTAGGTTAAACCACCACGTTAAGGCCACCACGGCAGTGCTACAGCGCAGAATACAGAACCAACCGTCTACACCTTAAAGAAGCAGTAGATTGAAGCTTCTCGCCACACTTTGTACTCACCTGACTTAGCCTCAACTGACTACCACTTTGTTTTTTTTTCAGATTTAGATTATCTACAAGGACAAGAATTTAGTTCTTTGAACAACTCAAAAATGAGTTCCAAGACTTTTTGGACTCTCTTTCTTCATTATTATCGGAAAGGAATAAATTGATACATATTTTAACAAGGTCTGTGATATTTTTTTTTGTGCAATTTTTTACTTTAATCCTAATTACAACTATTTGCAGACAGATATTTTTCTAGAACTCGCTTAGAAATGCAATTTAGTAGTTGCGGACCCAAACTCGTAAACGTAAATTCATTCCTAAAGCAACGAACAGCAAAGACACAAATGCTTTAGGCTGGCACATAATATTCAGAATCGTCTGTAACTTCAACAACTTTATCCAGCCTGAGCCCAAGTACAAAGGAGTACGTAGTTACCGTCCTCAGAGAACGGTTTCACCTCAACTCGCGGTAATTTGTACTTTGACTTTTGCAATTGAATCTCCTTGCACAGAGAGCAGTATACCTTGTTTAACTTGAGGAATTAATTTGCCTTTCATTGTGCTCCACACAAATACAGTTTCCAGTTAACTTTTGTCATTGAATTTTCCTGAATCTTTATTCATAAAAAAGATTGAATTTGAAGACGAAAATAATAAGAAAATTATAGTAAAAGCCGCGTGGATATAATTTTAGTATGGAATGAGAATTCGAAAGGGCGACCAATAAAATATGCAGATTTGACTGCGGCCGTATTTTTCTTGGTGTAATCTGCATTATTCAGGCTTTGTCACGAACTTCGACAGTTTAACAGCGTTTATCTCTCGCCTTGCAAATTGAGCTACGACTTTGAGACAAACGGGAGTCATTTTCATTAACATAATGGACCTCGGCTGATCCTTTGTCGGTGAGCCGAGGATGGATTCGAGCCGCCGCTCTGCCTAGATGGATATGCTTCGTTCGTCTTCTTTCATTTGATTTCTCAATTTGTTACTCTAAGAAAGCTATTCTTACAATACTTTCTAGAAGACCACAAGGCGACAGGTATATTCAAATGGACTCCGTCGATCAAGCGAGTTCCAAAGCAACGTTAATTTATTGCAGTTCAATGCAGAACTTTATTAAATGCTCATCCAATCCAAGTGCTATTAGTGAGGATGGATTCAAGCCACCGCTCGCGTCTTCTTTCATTTCTTTCGTCTGGTTTTTCAATTTCTTACTCTAAGAAAGCTATTCTTGCAATACTTTCTAGAAAACCCCACGACGACAGCTGGTAGGGACTAGTGGAATAGGCATAGGCCTATTCCACTTGTTCTGTTCTGTGATTCATTGTTCTGCATTGAACTGCAAAAAATAGTTTTTGCAGTTCAATGCAGAACTTTATTAAGTGCTTTTTTTATAATATCAAGTGACGGGACGAACAAGTCGTGCGCCTGATGGTAAGAGCTCAGTGCTTTCAATCGCAACGATCTAAGGGACACATAAGTTGACAAGTCTCATATGCCTGAAATCCAATCCAAAGCTATTAAAGGTTTCTCTCGCTCTGGTTACTGTTATATACGTGATATAATCGTAATATAAGTATAATAAGTACCTACATGAGTGTTGCAACAGGCAAGAAGGGTCAGTGTCCACTAGACCAAAACTAATCGCTGATAGAGTGGTCCGAGCTTGCCAACGATTGAACTATCGATTCGCTACTGTAGGCCTTTAGCTTCGCCGCTGCTACGCAATCCTCGAACATTCAATTTATTTCACCGTGAAATTATATGATTAACTGGTACGCGAAACTATCTCAAACAAATATGCAGAATAAATAAAACGCTTTCAAATATAAATTTTCATTTCAATCAGCGAAAAAATACTTACTAAGATTTCTGTGCAAACTGTTTATCTTAATATATCGCGTTTTAACTTAAAAAATTGGAATGTGTAGGGAAAAGTAACAAGTAAATACGAAACTTGTAAACAAGTATCAATTTTATTGAAAATTAAAACAAAATGATAATTTTGTTAGCTGCTGACGAAAAAAATATATGTGTGTGTGTGTGTGTGCGTGTGTGTGTGTGTGTGTGTGTGTGTGTGTGTGTGTGTGTGTGTGTG